AATCCACCACTTCTCCCTCTAGCAATGGGTTAATTAGTAAGACCTGTATAAGCAAATCATTATTATTTGCAAAAAAAATTCTTAAAATCTAAAAATATTTTCTGGCTATAAAGAACATGCAAAAGGTTGTTAAACCATAAAAAACAAATTAATTAATCCTTTTCTTATTTTGTTCTTTCTTTCTTTGACTTTGTAATTATTGAAATGAATCTCAGATTTTGGCTCGTCTTTTCAGCACATTTTGTGCCACTGTGATCACCACTCGCCTCAATCTCACAAGTGGGATTCATGGCGACATTCAAAGCAGAATAATGCAATGGCTTGCTGGTTCCTTTTATACCAGGGATGTTGACGTTACCTCATCCTATCAGAAGTCAAGGATGCAAGACCTACATGCCAACAGGTGGTTTGAATTCAGAGTTTTCCTTCTCCTAGACTGGTCATGATATATGGAGACTGTGCACAATCCGGACTTCAAGGAGTCCTCCCCCCTTATTAGTTGTACTGACAAGATCCAAAGAATTACAGGACATGACATTTGAGGATGGCTTGGCTGCAAGAGTTGCTGGAAACTTATCAGTGTTGACAAACAACTGTCTTCAGGGCTACACTCTGAGTTTTCTGTCTATATTTATTTCCATGCTTTGGCCACAAGGCAGCAAACATTTAAAATTAAGGTTTTCCTTCTCCTAGATAAACTGCCCTCCTGGGCTGTTGTGGAGAATAAAGAAAACAGCATCCAGTGAGTAAATTCAAGCTCTCCCAACTGGTATTCCAACCTCGAGTCGTTCCTTGAGTTCTGTCTCAAAATCGCACTAACAGACTTTTCTAGCCACCAACCATGAACGTCCCTCAAAGCACCCCTGCACTGGGAAAAATTAGTTGCTTTTATATTTGTCCATATACCCATAACCCCTTGCGTCTTCATGCGATCCCATAATGCATTGCATATTTATTGCATAAAAATGCAATGCAAGTCCCCCCTCATTCTTTTACGTTATCTGGCCGAGGACAGATTACGGCAGAGCGGTAAGTGCTTTTTTCTCCCTCATTTCAACTGAAGTAGCTTTACATGCTAAGCAAATACAGGCTCTTTTTTGGCGAGGACAAGTCAAGTCGCAAAGGTTGTGCTCGTCCCAGGTTCTGTCTCATGTCTGCCACAGCTGTCCAGCTCCATCTACCTGAAAACAGCCAGTCATGACACATCAGTTTTTGACCTTCGGTCATTCTCTGTCTTAGAGCTGTCAAAGAGCTTCAGTCATTCTCTGTCTTAGAATTGTCAAAGGCTATTTGAGACTCAGGCCACAGAAGTATTTTATAGACAGTGGGAATTTGTCTCTACTGTAATCCCTAGCTACGACAACCTTTGGAAAATATATAATGTACATATATAAACATTTATATACATTATGTGTTTCAGAAGCACCAAAGAAATTAATGTTTTTTTAAATGTATAAAATGTTAGATAAACAAAAACACTAAATAGGAAGAGAAATTACAAAATGGTACATAAATAAACAAAACACAAATATTGAAAGGTTTGTTAATTTTAGAAAAAGACAGTAGAAACAAAAAATGAAAATATATATTGGGATTTAAGCCTAAAATACTTAGAGATTATGAAGTCATTATTCAGCATAAAATAAAACCATTTATGCTGTGTCTTTGGTAATACTAAAACCTAAACTATCAATTGATAAAAATATTCAAGAGTAGAAAATGAAAAGTTGATAAATATAACTTTAGGGAAGTAAAAAAAAAGTAAAAATAAGACAAACGATCTTCAGATTAGTTGTACAAAAACAAATAAATACTAATAGAGAAAAAACGGTAACTGTTGAAAAAGTTGAAAGAAATAATAATAAACAATATATACATAACTTCAATTAAATATAATAATCATAACATATATAATAAATGAAATAAAATAAATAATAATTACAAATTATATTAAATTCTTATATTTTTTTAAACAATATTTACCACTAATTATTACATAATTGGAAAAAAGACAAAATCTAATAAATACTTACTACATATTAAAAGATTAATTGAAAAAATAGACACAAAGCCTACTAAATAATTGCTACATATTAAAATAATATTAATTTGAAAAACAGACAAAACTCTAATAAATAATTATCACATATTAAAATATTAATTGAAAAAATACACAAAAAGCCTACTAAATAATTATTAGATATTAAAATATTAATTGAAAGAATAGACAAAAAGCCTACTAAATTACTACATATTGAAATATTAATTAGAAAAACAGACAAAAGCCTAATAAATAATTACTACATATTAAAATATTAATTGAAAAAATAGACAAAAAGCCTACTAAATAATTACTACATATTAAAATATTAACTGGAAAAACAGAAAAAAGCCTAATAAATAATTATCACATATTAAAATATTAATTGGAAAAATAGACAAAAAGCCGACTATATATTAAGAAATAAATAGGAAAAATAAAATAAGGCACAAGTTGTAAAAAACTGTTTCAATAATTATAATAAGGGCACAATAAAATATGTCATATTGTTGTAGGTATGGGAAAACTAGTATATTTATAACAAGGGCCAAATGAATATATTTCTTTTTTGTAATTTGTTATTAATAAAATGAATAAAAGAAACAATCATCTGGTTAGTTGTTTTCATCTTGTATTCTTATTGGTACCTTTTATCATAAATTCTTTGGTTTGACTATTTATGGAGTGTAAAATCAAAATAAAGAAGTGACTTTAAAATATACACAGAAATAGTTTCAATTTTTGGTATTTAATCAATTCACCCCAAGCAAAGTGATAATACCACTAAGACACAATGGGCTGCAGGGAGTAAAAGAGAATGAGAAAGAACCAGGAAGTCAATCCTAAACAAGAAACACAGGATAAATCAATTCTCATGTTCAAAAAATCAGGGAGGAGCCAGAACTGGACAATAGGCGAACATTCCTATTGAGAGAAAAAAATAAATATTAAATAAATTTTCAGAGTTTAGACAGACATTAGAAGTACAGAGATGAAGTAGGATTTAGCTGCAACCAGAAACCCAATGCCAAACAGGAAACAAGATATAAACCTATTCCCCTATTCAGAACACATTGGAGGAGTGTGAACTGGACAAACCTATCTACTCTTATTGAGGAAACATAAATAAATAAATCTTACTTATTATAAAACGCAGATTGTGTGTGTGTGTGTGTGTGTGTGTGTGTGTGTGTGTGTGTGTGTGTGTGTGTCTGTACATTTATATATTGGATCGGATTTCCTACATTTTTCAACCGATTTCAACAAAACTTCACAGGACTACGTAAAATTACCTTGCAGTGGTTCTGACAGCACCAAAAATTGGAAAAACACAATTGTTTTTGCACGAAATCAATTTGAAAACACAATAAAACGATTCTGTTGCCGGAATGAAAGGGGGACAACTCATATCGAGTTATACTTATAAAACCCAGGTTGTTTGTGTGTGTGTGTTCATTTATATATGGGATTGGATTTCCTACATTTTTCAACCGATTTCAACAAAACTTCACTTTTTTTTGGCAGGTAGTGTTTCTTATTGTCTTGCACACTTATTTCTTTATTTTTACATTCAGAATGCTTTAAAAATTCCATTTACAAGACAATTGTTTATAATAAAATTCTATTTAATCGGTAGACTCATAACGATTGAAAACAATGTTTTTGTTTGAGTTTGGGTTTGACCAATTAGTAAAAAAAAAACAAAAAAAAAAACACAAAACAAAAAAAAACTAATTAAGACATGCATGTCCGTCAACCTTAAACAATAATCTTTGTCAATTTTATTTTTCAGTCTTTATGATGGTCGATACTTGATCTATCTCTTACTGTTACATCCCCGGGCAACGCCAGGCTCTACTGCTAGTAGTAAATAAAATTTCAGAGTTTAGATGGAGATGTTAGAAGTATAGAGCAAAGTAGACTTTGGAAGAAACCGGAAACCCAATCCTAAATGGGAAACAAGGGGTACACCACTACTTCTGTTTAAAAAAAACAGGGATGAGTGTAAACCGGATGACAGGCAAACCTATTTACTTCTATGAAATAACTGGAATTCTGAAGTGAAATATTTTCATTTTAAGTTTTTGCTAGTCCTATTTCTACTTTTGTGTTGTTCTGAGAAGTAAAAATAAAGAAACATTTTCTGTTTTTTTTCCCTCCTTTTTTTCATGTCTTTCTTTGCTTCCTAATTTGTTCCTTATTTTCTTTTTCTGTCTTTCAATTTGTTTTTTCTTTACCCGTTGCAATTGTTCTCAACATCAACTGTTTTAAACTTTCTTGTAACCACGGATATAAGTCTAAAAGTTTAAATGCCTCATTCAAAGGATAATAAAGTTTACAAAAAATACTGTAATGTTCACTAACGGCTTCTTTTTTTATATTCAAATACAAAATGTAATATATTTTGATGGTGTCATGACCCCTATAGATACTGAGGTATCAAATTTGTATCTTTTTATTTTTATTCTTTTTTTTTAAAATTCTTTTTTGCCTCCTTTATTCAAATTTTTTAAAGCCTGTTTTTTTTTTTTCTTAACAGTATTACTAGTTTGACTAATTTTCTTGACTCTTCAACATCTCATTTTTCTCTTTTTATTTCTTTCTTTCTTACTTGTTCTTTCCTTCTCTTCTGTCTTCCGTTTACTTCCTCCTTTTTACCACCCTTTCTCTCATCTTTACTTTCTTTTTCCTCCTCCCTTTTTGTTCTTTTTTCTGTCTCCTTGTCATCTTCTCTCTTCCTTTCTCCTCTTCTTTCCTCTCTACTCTCATTTTTTTCTTTTTCTCCTCTCTTTCTATTTTTCCATTCCACTTTCTCTTCACTTCTCTAATTTCTTCCCTTTTTCTTTCCTTCTCTTATCAGTTTTCTAATTTCCTCCCTCTGTTCATTTTCTTATCTCTCCTCTTTTCTTAGTATTTCTCTCTCTCTTTTTTTTTTGCCTTTTCTTTCACCTCTTCATGGATGTTCATTCCTTCTCTTATCTCTTTTACTGCCTTTTCTTCCCTCCACTCTCTTCATTCCTCCTCCTCTTATCTCCCATTTCTCTCACCCTTTTTTAGTTTTTCTTTAACTCCCCTCTCTTCATTCCTTCTCTTACTTTTTCTCTTGCCTTTTCTTTCACCCGCTCATGAATGTTCTGTTACCTTTTCTCTCCCTTTTCTTGCTTTTCCCCTCCCCTTCTGTTCATTCTTTCAATTATGTTATTCTCTCCCTTTTTTTACCTCTTCTTTTTCCCCCCTTCTCTCCTCCCTCTATTTGCTTTACCTTTCTTTTGTCCTTTCTCTTTCTTTCTACTTCTGCCTCGTTTTGTTATTTCTCAACCCTCTCCTTTTCTGTATGGCTCACGTTTCTAAAACCGACGATTACATGTTTTTCCTGCAGCCCTCCCCGACTTCCACCAATTACAATCCTTTATTCCTGCAGCCCTCCCCGACTTCCTCCAATTACAATCCTTTATTCATGCTGCCCTTTCTCTCTGACACAGAAATCACAGATCACTTGCAGACAATGACCTTGAATTGTTCCAATTTACAAACATCTACAACCAGCAAATCTCACATATAAAGACAGGACTGTCTATTTTCTCGTGATAAAATTCAGCTATTTGGAGATAGACAAAATGAGTTGAAATTAGTTTGGCGCATGCTGAGGAAGGAACACAAATATATCAGCAGACATGCACTCACAGAAGTTTATCCTTACATACTAAACAAGGCACAGCATCTTAATAAATAATGAGGTCATTTTTGTTTTTAATCATTTTGCCCCCAACCCTTGTAAGGCAGTAAAAACCACTAAGATGTAAGGGGTCATATCTATCAATTGGAACAGTGAAATTATGAGACCTACCTGCCAATCTAGTTAAGGCATAGGAAGCTATATTGTGATGGTGCTGGGAAAATAACTGGTCAGGACTGACATGAGAATAAAGCTTACATGATAGTTTCTGTCTATATGTAAGTGACAAAAATGAAACATAACATCAAATTCTTTTTACATTTGAACCTCTGACCAAACAATTTGGGTTTTATCGCAGACAACTGACCATGAGCAGAAGTTTCTGTCTATACGTAAGTGACAAAAATGAAACATCACATCAAATTCTTTTTATATTTGAACCTCTGACCAAACAAAACAGTTTTATCGCAGACAACTGACTGTAAGAAGAAGATTTCTCTGAGATTTGTAGAGTTAAATGTAATTGCCATTGTTAAATGTAATTGTCAGAAATGCCCAATCAGCAGAATTAACAAACTTTCCAATAAACAATAACAAAAGAAAGAAGAGAACAGGGCAAAATAATACTAAGCAGACTATACTATTTACATATAGTATTTACATTAGTCGGACTATTGTCCTCATCTTTGTTGCCATATTCATCACAACGTTTTGGCCGTTGTACGCTCTGGCCTTCTTAAGCTGGTTGGAATGTTGAACTGAACCCTTTATTTTGCTCGCTGAGGTAGACTGTTCTAGTTCCACGTGCCATGTCTAATGCCATGTCAGTTAGCAGTTATCTCCTGTTAATTCCGCTCTCCAAGTTCTCCAACGCCTTTACCAGGTATTGAACTCACTCTCTTTTGAAGAAGGCTGGAGTGTACAACGGCCAAAACGTTGTGATAAATATGGCAACAAAGATGAGGATGATAGTCGGAACAATGTAAATAGTGTACATAATACCTCATCTCAGAAATATAGACAGATACTAAGCCGACAGTATATATATATATTTATGTATATCTCTATCTATAAAAGGCAGGATGTGTGTGTGTGTGTAACGAAGGCACAGCTGCAATTTTTAACGGATTTGCACCAAAATTTACATGCACATGCTCCAAGTTAGCGGGAAGGCCAAGACCGACTTTGCATTTCCCAACTCCCATCAATAGGGGAAATAATCAATTTTTTCATGCTTCTCTGGCAGTTTTCATGTAGTTTGTGGCCATTTTCTACTGGCCAGAGTAAGAGCCAATAGCTGGCTGCCACGAATAGGCAGGAAGATTCTATTGGCCAGCGTGTGAACCAACAGCTGACTGACACGAATGTTAAATAGCATGCTAGCATGCAAAAAAATTCGATAGCTGCATTGGTCACAAGTGAGAAAAATTTAAATCTGCATGGCGCTTTACTCCAATTGGCTCATTTGCTTGCTTAAACTCAACGTTGATTCTGATTCCACAGAACTGGGTTGGGTGTGAAAAAGTATTTGTTGTTAACATTCTTTTTTCATTTGGTTTTTCCAGTTATGAGTCCTTTTTTAATGCTGATCGTTTTGTGTTCATTTTGTTTAGTTCTTTTTTCATAACAGATTTAATATTTAGTCTAGAGCTTAGAAAAAATTTGCAGTATGAGATAAGCAAGAAGTAAGGCATGTAGCAACACCAGCATGGCAAAGGACACTCCTTTAAAGGCAAGGAAGGGCAAAAAAATTTTAAGTCAAGTGATAGCGATTGCTGTATAAGTTGTACGATTTTTGAATCAAGCATGGGCAACGCCGGGCCATGCTGCTAATATTATATAAAAAGATTACTTAAATTTTAAATATCAATTTTTTATTTTTGTTGTCTTCCCTGACTTCAACTGTTCTTCAGGGGTTTCTGGTTTTAAATGATATTTTTGATTCATTCAATTTGTTCTGCCACTTTTTCAATCTGATTTTTACTCTGTTTTGTAATATATATATATATATATATATATATATATATATATATGCAAGACAAAACTAGGCAATGCAACAGTAATAAGGTAAAAAGTTTACAAAGTAACAATAGTGTTAACATGCAAAAGGTTTACAATCAAGTGAATGTAACATTCTGACTTAAAAACAAGAAAGAAGAAAAATATGACAGATGAGACTGAGAAGTTGTCTATCTTATTGGCCAGGAAGAAATCCCAGCATGCATCTCTATCATTTGTCTATAAATCTGGGGAGGTGGATGTTTTTTGCAGTCATTCTGATCCTGATCAGAACCGACCACCATTTCAGCCTATCAAGGTGATAATGCCCCTAAGACACAAACTGGTTACTGAGAGTGAAAGAAACTGAGAGTAGTCAATAAGAGAACAGGATTCAAGAAATCAGGAGATGACAATGGATGTTGCATTTAAATTTTTGAAGATTGCGATTGACAGCAAATTGAGAAGTTGGAAAGAGTTCCACAGTCGAGAAGTGTGGGAGAAGAAATGATTCACATAGAACTTAAGGCTACAGCTAGCAAATTCAACAGTGAAATTATGAGACCTAGCTGCCAATCAAGTATTGTATTTCAATTTGTAAAGTCAGAACAACAAAATGGAAAGCTATAGAACCCAATCTGCCCTGCCATTTACCCATGGCTGGAAGGAGATAGATGGATTCATAAGTTACTCGAAAGTATATGTACACAAATGAATGTAATAAGCATGACAGGGATTTGAACTAGGCTCTCCGATTCCTCAATACGAGCCACTATATTAATAAAAAGCAATGGTAATATTAGCTGTTTCCTTATTTGGAAACATTTGGCATTCATTGACTGAAAGCCATGTGACCTAGCATCTTTCTATTAAAACAATTTTTCAGGAAAATAAATTTCTCGAGTCCACTATTATCACTATTTCCAGTATAGATAGAAGTTTCCTTTCTAACCTTTTGTTTGAAGTAGTGAATGCTAATATCTTGATTATATCTGTAATAACAAAAGAGAGAAAGAGTAGTCTTAAGGATACATTATTCTGCTTAAAATAATTGATACCAGCATAGTGACTATTTATAATCCTCTACAAATGAAAGAATTCTCCAAAGGGAGGCAATCATAAAATAAGGGAAATTACTTCTGATTACTTTATCACAATGTCATTATTTTGTCTCCCAGTTACATATGCTATCCATTTTAGTTGTTGCTGCTATTGAAAGTCCCCAAGTGATGTGGTTTCTGTTATTTGATACAGTTCTTTGTTTGTGATTCTGTAACACCAACCCATGAAGTTCGAAGATGGATGTTCCTCTCCAAGACCTTCAGGTTTCATTCACTGTAAACTATTTTTAATCACTGATCTGAGAAAGTGGTTGTATGACAGTTTAAATATTTATAAATCTGTTGGGAACCAAGCATGATATGAAATTCTTGAACTGACAAGGATATTTAAGAACACAAGGGCACTTTTTAGGGTAATTTTTTAAATCAGTATCGCACCATGCAAGGCAGTAAGGCCACTAAGAGGGGTAACAAAGTGTGGAAGAGGAATCAGGAGGACAGTAGATAGCAATTGACATTGCATTTAAATTTTTGCAGATTGAAGTTGGCTGGAAAGCATGGAGTCAAAAAGTATGGGTACTATGGTGAAGAGCTCATCCAAACAATGACCATGAATGTATTCATAGAAAAGACAGAGAGAGGCAATCTTAGGGAGGTGTGAAGGTGACTGAAGTTGAACTGCAATATCAAGACCAATAAAAGTGCTGATTCTTCTTTGGATTTAATCAAGGGGTATGGGACCATATGTGGCAGCAATATTCTAAGCATGGATGAATAGTAGACATACAGATATGCAAGATAGATTCTGAAGAGAAAAATTGTCTCACACAACACAGTGAACCAACTTTCTTAGTAGCTGACCTAGCAATGGATTAACCCTAGAACACTAACCCTGGGTACCCATAGTACCCAACGCAAATTTTCCAATTTTTAATTACAATTTTCAGTACCTGATTTTCTTACCGAAATAAAGTTTTTCAGTTCCTATTAATGTTAACTCAAAGTACAAAGTTTGAAGTGCCTGCATGTAAAATATTTCAAATATAGATTTATATTTAATATTTTTTTTTGATATTTTCAAAATTGGGTATGATATACCCATGGTTATTTGTGGTGTAACTTTAATTGATGGTTAGTGTTCTAGGGTTAAATATAGTCTTTCCACTTCATGTCAGCTGAGAACATTAGCCTGAAAAGGTGCACTGAGGTTAGCTTTCCTGGAGGTTACCATCAGCCATATATTTTATACTCATAGTGCAGCCTATTCTATGTTCAATTTCTTTATCTCCTATGCCAAAATTATTATAGCCGATCCATACATGAAGATATTTGAAGTGTTTAGTATTTATTAATTTCTGAATTTTTATGATGGATGTAAGGTATGTGCCATCACTGCTTTCATTCCAATATTTTACTTGAGCATTCTTTACTGAACTGAACTTGACAATATGAAGGAAGAAGCTTTAAACAAAAGAAGAAAAAAGAATCCCTGTATGACAGACTATAAAATATAACATTTTAATTCCAATAGCCAAGTCAAGCTAAACAATGTCAAAGTAGATACTGAAAGATTTATGTATCGAAGGTTTTTCTAAACATTTCAGTTTTTAGTTCCGAAACAACATTTCTGAATTAATAATAAAGAAAAGAAAAAAACAAAAAAAAAACTCTCTTTGTTTTCCGTAGAAGTACAAATTCTTTTGGTAGATTCCTGAAGTTTTATTTCTGGGAGGAGATAATTGAATTGTAACCCCTTCATCATATGACCCCCACCCACCCAAAAAAAAAAAAAAAAAAAAAAAACTAACACATGTTATAACTTGTCTA